AACAGGGAAATCCCTCTTATGGCCTCTAAGAATTTGAGAAATCCTTCCTTAGGGCACTGGGAAAAGGCCGGCCCTGTCTGCTTGCAGCACTTTTCTTTGGGTGTTAGCACGACACCAAGACATGCACAGGCTTTACTCCTGACTTAGCTCAGGGACCATACCTAGTGGAACTAGGGGGGCCCATTGATCCAACATCAGCAGTGTGCAATACGATCACTTTATCTGCTGGACTAATGCCCTGCTCCAAGCGGTATTTTTTTTTTCAGCTGCTTCCCACCTACATCTCCTTCCTGTAGAGTTGGGCTCCCTTAAAGATGCCTCACTCCCCCTTCTGTACGGCACCGTGCCCAGGGAGACAGCCCCGTGGAACCCGAGGCTTCCACTCCCCAGCACTTTCAGAATTTTCAAGAATGGGCCCCAGGGATATTGCAGGGGAGAAGGTGCTTGCCTTGATGCGGCCCAGCCCTGTTCAAGTCCTGATACTAGGATTTCCTGAGCCCTGCTTTAGAGGAGAGTGCACCTCTACCCACATTTCTCGCAGGCTAATTTCAGACAGGCTACCCTGGGGAGCAGGAGTTGGTACCTACACTCCCAAGAAAAGCCTCGTGGAAACTGTCGCCCCATGACCTCAAGACAGGGCAACATAGGAAGCAGAGTTCGATGAAGGTATCGGAGGTGCAGCCCTTCCCGGCTTTTGCTGGGCCTGAGAATCCATGGTCTCAGCAGATGCTGGGGGTTCCATATGGAAAACAAGGCTCTCCCTGGTCCCCACTTTAGTATCTTATTGGCGTTCGATCTCCCGACAGAGCTAGAAGAGCAAATAAATGTCCACCTTGACACTGTGGATTCCCTCTTTGGAAAATACCCTCTCCAGGCGCCCTCTAATGGCAGTATCATACCCCTCTGCTGGTAAACTCATGCTAGGAGTGAGCCTCCAGAGACAGCCTCAATGTCAGGTAACTCCTGAGGTGTGGGTAGGGATAGGGAAAAATACTGAGCAGGTCTGGGAGGCAGGAATAGTGGTGGGATGCAGCTCAACTGGGAGCAACCCATTGGCCTCAGTTGAGAAGTCATGACCTGCGCCGAGTCAGTGTGGTCGCTCCTGCTGGTCACCTTGTGGTACCCAGCCCTTCCACTCTCTTGAGTCTGTTTTCCTCTAGTGCCCAATGATTGACCGGCCTGAACCTCAAAACATATGCTTCCCCCTTTGTAAATTGTTCCAGGAAGAAGACCCCTGTTTGCCTTTGGGCCAAAGGATCCAGAGACAGGAGGAAACCTCAGTTACTGTGGACCCATTGCCCAAGAATTCAAAAACTCGGCCACCTTCTTCAGGAAGACCCTGGCTCTGGACTTAAGAAAATCCTCGTTGGAGCCCTTGAATGGACCATCCTGCAATCTGTAGATGATAAGGTCTTAGTGTCAGAAGCCCAAGAGGACTGAAAGAGAGCCTCAGACGCACTGCTCCAGCTCTTGGTTGAGGCTGGGCACCAGACCTCCTGGAAGAATGAGCATAGAGAAGTGAAAAAAAGAAAAATAACCCAAAAAAACCCTTTCAAATCAGCAGTAGGGCTCCAGAGGCACAGAGGTTGATCCTCTTAGTGCTTGAGAAAGGGCACCAGGTTCTAGGTGGCCTGACCCAGGATGGGGCCATTGGAAGAGGTCTGAGTATACCTGTCTCTGAGGCAGCGGGCTCTGATCTCTCGCTGTGCCACCGAGGTAAACAATCTACCTACCTCCAGGTCCCCATTCAGGGGTGACACTGATGACTAACAAAGGGCCCCAGTGTCTACCAATTGCCCAGATGGCACAGTCCCTGGGATTATGATGTGAAAACCCACATCTAACTTTTGCAACTCTAGATTAATTCACTAGCCTTTCTGCCTATCGGATGGGACCCCATCCTCTGACTTGCAAGAAGCAGTGGATTACATCTCTTGCTCAGAACTACTGAACAGTTCCGGAACAGTTTCCAACCTGAGTGGCATCTGGGTCAAGATCATAATAAAGAAGCCCTGAATCCCTCTGGAAAGGCTTGGGGGGGAGGGGTGCGCTCGGGGAGGGATAGGGACAAGCGCGAAACATGGTGAGACCCCATGATCTCTTAATTTTCATATTAAAAATTGAAATTTATTTCTTTGGATTTTTTACTGGTTCTTTATTTTAGGTTTTGAGTTTGTTCCTGCACATATGGATGTGTTGGAGGCTGTGTAACTATTTTTTTATTCAATAATTTTTTATTATTTTTTTATTAGTGAAACACCATGAGGTACAGTTGTAGACTTATAAATTTTTTGCTTGGGTTTCAGTCAGACAATGATCAAGTACCCATCCTCCACCAGCGCCCATCCTCCACCACCACGGGTCCCAGCATCCCTCCCACCTCCCTTCCCCCTCCTTTCCCACCCTACCTCTGTGGCAGGGGATTCCCCCTTGTTCTCTTTCTCCCTTTGCGTGCTGTGGTTTGCAAGAGAGGCACTGAGTGGTAGTCATGTTTGGTCTATAGTCTACTTTCAGCATGCTTCTCCCACCCTGGGAGGATCCTCCCAGCACCCTTGATTTGGTGCCCTCTTCTCTAGCTGAGCTTCCTTGGAGACTGTGTAACTTCTTTACTTGCAGAGTACGAGTCTCAATGTTGTTCTGTTTGGGTCATCTTGCCACTCCTAGTATGCAGCATCCCTGCCATGGGGGCACGTCTGCAATTGCTTTGTGTAGCCCCATAGCCTCATAGCCCCATAGCCCCATTCCTCAATGGGAAGGGGCAGAGGAGGGGAGAAGGGAGGGGGCAGGAAGGTGGAAGGGGTAAGAGGGGAAGGGCGGGAAGGAAGAGGCAAGAAAGACAAGGTTGGGGTAGAGGAATATGATTTTAACAGGGTAGGTAAAAGACGGAATTACAGGTGAGTAAGAATTCTGTTTAACCATTTTTGACTCTTGGGGGGAACACATCACTTTCAGGCAGGTCCCTTCGTGCCCTTGGATGGGTGTCTGCAGCCTACTTACCTCACGGGCATCACAGTCTGTCTGATTTTCTGCCAACACAATTTTGTCTTTGACGGGTTGTTGGCTCAGGTCTGTCTTGGATCTGGGTGTGATTTCCACCTCTAGGTGAGAGGGAGGATGGGGTGTGCATGGGGTGTCTTTAGGAAGGACACTGCCTTCTGGTTCTCACAGAACACTTGGGGTTCCGAGGCGGGTGTAGCCCGTAGGATGGCGGGGATCAAACCCAGATCAGCCACGTGCAAAGCAACAACCTACCACTGTACTATCGCTCCAGCCCTTGAATTTCTTCTTGGAGTAAGTTTCTGTTCATTATTCCTCTCTGCATTTGTTTGATGGGGTTGGGAGATAATGTTTTTGTAAAGTTCTACCAATGTGCTATATAACTTGGATATTAGCCTTTCATCAGCTAGGTATTGGGTAAATAATTTTTCCCATTCTGTGAGCTATCTTTGTAGCTTAGACGCCATTGCCTTTTCTGTTTTTTAAAAAAGAGCATTAGATTGGTGTATCTTTGATTTTTCTGTTCTCTTTTCATGCTTTATATTTTGCTGACTTTTTTGCAAATTTTTATATTGTTTTTATAAAGTTGTTTACAATAATTTATTACATTTAATATGCAAACACCAATTCCACCACCATCGTACCTTCCCACCACAGTATTTTGAATGTTACCACTCCAAATCTTAGAGGTACTCTCCTGGGGTCATTGACATTGTACTCAGGGGCATGCAGATGACAGGCTCTAGACATGGTGAATCCCATGGCAAGGGCCACCCACAATCTAGAAGCAACTGCCAACTGCTGGCAGGACACACCTCGCCCGAGACACATACCCACACGGCCTGGGATGGATCCATTTATTGAAACAAGCTTGGAAATAGGACAGTGACTGTCAGAGAGTGACCCAGCATGCCTCCTTCCTCTCTCTTCTCCTCAATTCATTAGTGCCCAACCAGCCCCCAAAGAGTGTCTAGAACTGGTTGCTCTGATGTTTCCAGCCCCCATTAGCTTCAGGGCTGCCATATGGAGAAACGGGACTGTGTACTGGGGAGGGAGAGCTCCCACCTCAAGCCCTTGTTTGGCTTTTGGAGCTATCATGACTGAAGTTTGAGTGTGGCCCAGTTTAAATTTCTGCTCCCAACATCCCTGGTGCCTAGAGGTAGGAGACATTTTTGTCCCACTGATCCCTGCGATCTAGTGTTGGGGGACCTTTCTGCCCCCTTGATCCCTAGGGTCTAGTGCTGAGGGAAAGTGGAAGAGCGGGGAGGAGGGAGGAAGGAGGAGAGTGGGAAGAACTGGATCAGGGCTAGATTAGTTGGAATTGAAGAACACAGGGTACATCATCAGGATAGAAAAAGTGGATTAATGGTGAACAAGCTTGCCAGCTGAACTCAAGCGGAAGAGCTGGATTCTGGTTATTTGGGGGCAGGTCATTACAGGATCCGGATCTGAGGTCTGCGGCCTCCTGTTCCTCACAGACAGGAAAAGGAGGGTCTCTCTGGGTTCTTCACACAATCCATCATCCCGCTCCCCAGGTCTGGACACCAGACCTTAGTCTCAGACCTTAGTCATCCAGATCCTTAGTCTTCTCACACGCCACCAGCCTGTCCTTCATGACCATCACCTCGAGTTCCATAGAGGTCATGGTCTCACAAACCTCCACTATGTTCACCTCCAACTCCGTGTTCTTCGACACTGGATTGACTATGGGGCACTCCAGGGTCTCAGCCAAGCAAGGAAGGTGGAGGCATCTCAGGGGTCCCGCCTGGCTCCACCTCCCATATAGCCCCACCTCCAGATCCCCATCAGGAACTTCTCCCTCCTGGTGACCCACCGCACCACTCACCCTCTTCAGGGTACCCTTGGAATTCCAGAAAGGCCTGGGGCTCAGTTGCTCCTCATTTCAGGACTGAGGATCCCCTAAAGATGAAGGCACCAGGTGAGTAGGCAGGTCTAGGGCCTGATGCGCCTTCCTGTCCCTGAGCCCCTGCCCATCCCCTCACCTGGGTTTCCCTCAGCTCCCGGAAGGTGGCCTCTAGCAGGGCCTGCTGCTTGGTTAGCACCTGCTGCAGCTGGTCCATGAGCGGCTTGTGCCTCAGAACCTGCTCGACCTTGGAGCCCAGGTGAGTGGGACATCCAGGTGTGGGGTTCCAGCTGTGTGCTGCTTTTGATACCGGCAGAAGCATTCCAGGCTGCAGGCACTGCACCTTCTGGTCTTGCATGCACATCTCTGTCATGAGACAGGGCCGAAGGCTGTCCAGATCCCACCACAACATTCAGGGCCCAGACACTCACACACAGGCCCAAGGAAAACAGCACATCAGGTAACCTGTCCCCTGCACATTCCCCTGGGGGTCTTTCTCCAAAGTCCTAAGAGATGGGGCCTACCCCTACCTCGACCCAGCAGCCTTCCCGCTACTAGGACCCTCTCTGTGCAGTGAGGGCCAATCCGCACCCCCAAAACCCCTCTAGCCTCTTCTAGATTTTGATATATTATAGTGGGTGGCGTCCTGGCCTGTCCTTCCTCCCACCACCCCTGACAGGCTCCTACCCTCACAGTGGGTCTCCCCCGGCACCTTCTGTCATTTCTCCATATCCACCTTGTCCTGATTCACTCCCCTTGCAGCCGATCCGGAGCTGGCTCTGCAGTAGCACCTGCTCCTCCTCCTGCTCATTCTCAGAGACCGACACTGGTAAGAGGCCACGTCCTACTGCGGGAGGCCGAGATCCTAGTCCTGTTGCTGCCGCGGACACTCACCTGTTTGTCCTGCAGTCCCACCTTTGGGCGCAAGGCTGGGAGTGAGGACAGGCAGCCAGGGCATCCTACTCTTGGTCCAGGGATGTGGAGGTCAAGCACTGACTCCCAGGCCCAAGGCTGGCAGCGCCTGGGCAATCTGTGCCCTGCACAGGCCCCCATGGTCTTGCTCCAGGGGCCTAAGAGATGAGACCTCCCTTGACTGGGGACCCTGTCTCCTGTCCTGTGCTCAGGGATCACCCCTAATGGTGCTCAAGGATCCATACGAGGTGCCAGGAATCAGCCCAGGATAGAAGTATGCAAGCAGACTCCTCACCACCTGTTCTAGCTTTTGATATATTACATTTCCTTGTTTTTTTGCTTATTTGGTTTTGGAACCACAGCAGGGATCAGTCCCAGCCATGCTCAAGGGATTCTATGGGACGCCAGAAATTGAAGTCAGATAACCCAAGTGCCCTTCCTGCTCTACTATTTCCTGGCCTCTTTGATCTTTTTCAAAATAAAAATTTTAACTTTCCGTTGATTTTTCTACACTGCATCCCGAAAGGAATACCGGTTTACATTGGTGCGTGTGAATTTCCCAAATGCTTCAGTGAGTCCCACTGCAATCAGAACCACCCCTCTAACTCTCCCCCGCTCTCTTTTTGCTATACTTGGACATTTTTGGAGGGACATACCCAGTGTTGCTCAGGCCTTACTCCTAGCTCTGTACTCAGGGACGACTCCTGGTGGGGTTTCAGGGATCATATGCGGTGCCCGGGGTCACATCTGAATTGGCTGGTCCACAAGGCAAATGCCCTTCCCTCTGGACCACCCCTCCAATCCTGCAAGATAGTTTTCTTGAAAAAAACTTACTCAGTGAGATGTGAAGGGAGGACGTGTTCAAAAGAGCATGTGGGCTGAAAGAGCTGACCACTCACCCTAACTTCTAAAGGCCAGTAACTGCCTGTACCTGTCAATCACAAACTGCCACTCAGGAAGGTCCCTTGGGCCTGTCCCTCACCCCCATCTCTGTACCCGAGAGGCCTCTGCAGGTTCCCTGCAGCATTTTCCCACTTCCATATCTAATGCAAATGAAATTTGTTTGCCATTTATAAATGCCCATACAGAGTTTCCCCTTAAAGTAAATGAAATAATCATTTTTAAAAAAGAGATTAAGTAATGACATGTTGAATGGTGCTCAAAGCAGGACACATTTAAATCAACGATCTACTCATCATGCACTGTCTCCAAACTCAAGTCCAGCATCACATCTCCCCAATTCTATAAAGATCCCAGTGCCTCAGCTGAGCTCTGGATTTCACCTCAGAAAATGTACTACACATCTAATTCTATAAATCCAAATATAAGGCATTCTCCTATTAAATTTTTTTTATTAAATCGATGTGAGATAGACCCTTACAAACCTGTTCATGATTAGGCTTCAGTCATCATTGTTCACCCATCCCTCCATCAGTGTACATATCCCACCTCCAAAGTTTCCAGTTTCCCTCCCATCACCCGCCCACCCACCTCTCCACCCAGGCCAGTCTTTTTAAAAAAATTTTTATTAGTGAAACACCATAAGGTACAGTTATAGACTTACAAATTTTTGTGTTTGGATTTCAGTTACACAATGATCGAGTACCCATCCCTCCACCAGTGCCCATTCTCCACCACCACGGATCCCAGTATCCCTCCCACCCCCCATTCCCTCCATCCCACTCTGGCTCTGTGGCAGGGCATTCCCTTTTGTTCTCTCTCTCCTTTTGGGTGCTGTGGTTTGCAAAAGAGGCATTGAGTGGCATTCATGTTTGGTCTATAATCTACTTTCAGCATGCTTCTCCCATCCAGACAGGACCCTCCCAACACCCTTTACTTGGTGCTCCCTTCCCTATCTGAGCTGCCGTTTCCCCCAGCATGTGTGGCTGGCCTCCAAGTCATGGAGCAAACCTCCTGGTACTTACCGAGACTATTCTTGGGTGTTAGTCTCCTATTTTGTTACTTTATATTCTACAGATGAATGCAGTCTTTCTATGTCTGTCCCTCTCTTTCCGACTCATTTCACTTAGCATGGTACTTTCCATGTAGTACCACTTGTATGTACATTTCATGAATTCATCCTTTCTAACAGCTGCTTAGTATTCCATTGTGTAGATGTACCAAAGTTTCTTTAACTGTTGCCTACTGACCAAGTAAAAGAATGCTTGATTTTTCATTCCCCCTTTGTCCTGCTCAAAGCTGGGCAACTTCCCAGGTTTCCAGGCTTTCAGGGATTCCCCACAAAACCCCAAGCAAGGCTGCTATCAATGCGGACAGCCAGGCCATTTCAAAAAGGAATGTCCCAACAACCCCTTGAGGAAGAAGGGGGGATCACCCGGGCTATGTCCCAGATGCAAGTGAGGCAATCACTGGGCAGCCGAGTGTCCCTCCGACCGGATAATTTAGGCAATACACTGCCACAGGGAAACGGCGGGAGGGGCCTGCCTCGGGCCCTGCAAGCCTTCAGGCAGGAGGCCTATCAGACATCCGGTCAAAGTATCAGCCCGCTCCCGATAGCTTCCCTCCCTCTGTCAGGGGCTCCTCAATTCCCAGCTCAGGTCTAGACCTTTATGCCTCTGTCTGGGCGGTACTAACACCATCTATGGGAATTGAAAGTTTGGAGACGGGGGTCTATGGCCCCCTACCACCCGGAACCACTGGCCTCATTCTAGGGTCAGAAAAGGCTCTCCTGCAAGGATTGCAGATATACCCAGGATCTATCACAGAGAGCTACATAGGACAAATTCATGTCTTGGCAGATTCCCCCCGTGGCATTGTGACGATAGAAAAGGGACAGCTGATTGCACGCCTGCTCCTCCTCCCGACATGGCAAGGCCCCACCTCGACGCTCTCGGTCCAGGGTCAGACAAACGGAGACTTCTCAGATAATCCAGCCCAAATATTTTGGATTGCCCATATGGCTTCCCGACCACGCTATGCGCTAAGAATCAACTCAAAGGAATTCTCTGGGCTATTAGATACTGGGGCGGATATCTCAGTGATATCCAGTAAATATTGGCCTGCCAACTGGCCTGCCACAATGGCTACAGCCGTTTTGCAAGGACTTGGCCAAGTCCGACCCAGCCGTAGCACCCAAGTATTGACCTGGGAGGACGCCGAGGGCCATAAGGGCCAGTTCCAGCCTTATATTGTCCCAGACCTCCCCACCAATCTTTGGGGATAAAATATACTCTCAGCTATGGGCGCGGTTCTGGTTACATCACCCAGTCGCTCGCAGACATCGCCAGTCTCCTTTAAGACCATAGCCCATATCACTAGTGACTGCCCATCCTCCAGCATCACATTTCCCGGGCAGGAAAATCCCGTGACTTTAATGCACATTGAGGAACTGGAAGAAACTAGCCCTTTTTAATCGGGGCCACTGTCGAGCGGCCTCCCACCCCAATTACCTGGAAATCAGATGATCCAGTCTGGGTGGAGCAGTGGCCCCTACCTAAAGAGAAATTACAGGCCGCACATGCCCTAGTGTCTGAGCAATTAGAAAAGGGGCACATTACCCCATCCACATCTCCCTGGAATACCCCAATCTTTGTTATAAGGAAAAGGACAGGCGGGTGGAGATTATTGCAAGATCTCAGAGCAGTCAATGCCACCATGCATCCAATGGGGGCCCTGCAGCCAGGGCTCCCCCATCCCTCCGCTATACCAAAGTCCTGGTAATTGTTAGTGATAGATCTTAAAGATTGTTTTTTCAATATTCCATTAGCTCCTAAAGATTGTCAAAGATTTGCCTTCTCTCTACCTTCCCCCAATTTTCAGGAGCCCTATCAGCGCTAGCAATGGGTAGTCCTTCCCCAGGGCATGACTAATAGTCCCACTATGTGTCAGATATATGTTGCAGCGGTTTTAGCGCCAGTCCGGGCTCGTTTCCCCAGTGCACTTTTGATTCATTATATGGATGGCATCTTAGCCGCCTGCCCCACCAAAGACCTGTTACTTCAACTCTATGATCATGTCCGGGTCGCCCTGGAATCAGCAGGCCTTGTAATCTCCCCGGACAAGGTACAGCTCTCCCACCCATACAGATATTTAGGATACACCATTAACAAGGTGGGAATAGTGCCTCAAAAAATATAGTTTGCCACGTCTCATTTAAAGACTCTACACCACTGGCAACAGTTTTTGGGAGAACTCCAATGGCTCCGACCATCCTTCTCCCTGCCCACGGGAGAGCTCAAACCTCTTTTTGAACTATTGAAGGGGGATTCTGACCCCTCCTCACCTTGTCAATTGACCCCAGAGGCACAATTGGCTCTTAGAAAAGCAGAACATGCCTTAGAAGAAATGCAAATACACCATATTGATTACAATCTA